TTGTTAGCAATAATTTATTAATAATAATAATTTATAATAATAAACAGACATGAACAATTTTTAACAAAAAATTTAATGTTGATGGAATCTCAAACCTGCTGAAGCATGTTTATATTCTATACACGTTGATTCTTTTGTACTTTCCATTTTTAAATTTTTTATATATTTCTAAGTTTTTTCAATTAAATAAATAGTTTTGTTAGTAAAAAAAATCTATCAAAAGAAAGAAATTTTGTTTTATATTGAGTTCATGTACTTACTGATTAACAACAAAATTAATGAATCAATCCTCGTTTATAGCATTATATATATCCATGGTTTATAGTCTCCATCCGTTATGGGTCGGACTTTTTTATTCCATTCCTCAGTTTCTGTCTCCAAGCCGATCTATCCATTACGTCTGTCTCTCTGAGACCAAGTGCCTTCAAGTCCTCCTGTATGGTCTGCGTCCAGGACTTCTTTGGACGACCTCTTGGGCGGGTGCCAGGTACCTGGTGCTCAGTAACGGAAATTATTGCGTGGTTTCCTGTGAGGACAACAAAATAAAAAATAAATGGTGGACGACAGGGAAAACGTCGATGGAAAGTAAACGGAACGAATTTGCAACTGACGCCTATTACTACACCAGATGTCGGTAATTTCGCACCCTTTTGCCATCCAATTGTAGTACACTCCTTCCGTAGTACCACTCATGTTGATTTGTTCGCTGCACCGCAATGCACTGCCAAGCAGCCAGTTCAACAAATGTAACAGTGCGAAGAGTGACAAGCAGATTAATTACAATTTTTTTAATTAGAAAAGTTAGAATTATAGAACATTTAGTCAATAATTTCATTTCAACGATTATATCAATCAATCAATCAATCAATCAATCAATCAATCAATCAATCAATCAATCAATCAATCAATCAATCAATCAATCAATCAATCAATCAATCAATCAATCAATCAATCACAATCAATCAATCAATCAATCAATCAATCAATCAATCAATCAATTAGCTTATAAAGCGCTATTTTCGCGATGTTCAACAGCGCTCCTCAATGAATTTTGAAAACAGATG